AAGAAAAAAGAAAATGTAATTGCATGTCGACATACACTCGTATGTACGTAAAAACGCAATGTCGGCGAAAAAAATGGAAAATAAACTAAAGCACACGTTACAGCGTTAAAAAAATATTTTTTGTTTTAAATAAAAGTATAAATATATGAGCATATTAAAATTGTTTTTTTTAAAAAAAAGATTAATATATATCGTAAAAAGAAAGATCGAGATAATATTAAATGTCGAGTAATGCTTTACGTGCAATAGTCGTTTAAATGTTCTGGAAATCTTACTCTTCTTCCAGAACGTGTCGTTTTAAGTTTATTTTCAGACACTTTCGGAGTGTCATCGCTAGTATTGGTTGTTGGTTGAGGAAGTATGACTGTAGGAGTCGCGTTGTGCGATTGTCCCGAAGGGAAATCGACGTGAATAAGATTTCCTTCTAAATACGCTGCTTTTAAGCGATCGATGCTGATGCTGTCGTTTGTTCCGTTCTTATCGACTCTATAGTACTTAGATTCGCGTTGAAGAACTTTGAAGTGTCCTTCGTATGCTGATTCGTAATTGCTTGACGTTGGTCGCTTCTCGGTAATCCAGAATTGCCGCTACTGGTTATGATACCAGCACCAGTCGGGGTTATCCGTCTCTCGTGGTCTAGAGACAGATCGCTTACGTGAAATGCTTCTACGTGGGCTGTGTGAGCGATCATGGTCGTTACGAAGATTAAGATAGCGCGTGAATGTATCACATAACTCGGTTATGTCATTCTGAGCCGTGTGAGGTTTTCTTTGACTGAAAATACCTCTGTAGTAGACGATTTCGTTATTTCTAAAATACGATCGGCAGATGCAGCCAACTCGTCTAAGGCGTTGTTCTGAAACGAAACCAGAACCGCTTGCACCTGTTGAGGAAGTTTAGACAAGAAAAGTTGTTCGAATAGGCCTTCATCGAATGTTCTTATGCCTATCACTTCTCTCATTCGTTGCAACATGTCCGTCGCAGAACCGTGTTGCAGGTCGATGTTATTGAAGAGTTGATCTAACCTTTGTCGATCGGTTAGGTCTCCTCGATTAAGAATCGAACGTTTTAGGATTTCGTAAGGTTCGGCAACATCACTAGTAAACATACTAGGTGTTACGCACCTGTTGAATTCGCACGGTAGTGCCTTGACTACTGCGAGGAATTGTGCACGTGTGTCGATCACGCCGTGCTCGGAGAAGTCGGCTCCTGCGTAGCAGAACCAAGCTTCGATATTGTCGGGCCAGAAAGGCATGAGTTGAAACGAAGGTGGGGACAAAGTCTTAAGCTTGAGTACTTTGGGTGTCTGTTCAGCCATGACGAAACATGAAGTACGATAATGAACGAGGGGAAATATATATATATCCAAGAAAAAACACGAAAAAAATCACAAAGTTTAAAAACATATAAAAATAAAGCAATGATATATGAAATCCCAAAATGGAACAAACTCACGGTTGGAATTAGGTGTATCAGAAAACGTTGGGCTCACCAATGAGCATGATACAGGTATTCAGTGTTTGACAACGCTTCTACCAGTAACACCTTCTAATATACTTTGTTCCCCCCGAGAGAAATCAAAAGACAGGGTCGAGGGGATCGGAATGGTGTAGTTGGCGATAACCAATATATCGGAATTCTCGGATCTAATCTGGCTAGCGATTGCGATAGATGCTGAGCACAGCGTTACCACACGTGATCTGGTGCGGATGCATGACCGAGCTCCTTCAGCTAGATGAGTCCACTAAAACATATGGTCAGTATCCAATGTCGAAAATTTACAGAGCTATTTAATTTGGGGATTTATTTACCGCTACAATTCTGAACATACAAAGACTCAGTAGCTAAATAGATGATGCGATGAAGCGATTGAAACGACCGGCGTTGTGTCCACGTCTCACAGTCAACATCAACACTGGGATGCATGTACATCCAAATGTTCAGTCACAAATACGACGAAACACGATTTCTGGATTCCACTACTAGACATCATCCATCATCCTGTAATAATGCATTTGAATGACACAACACATATAAGCGGACAATATTGTTTTCAATTAGATCGTCATCAGGCTTTATTCTAATATACGTGAGTATTTATGCGAAAATGTTAAACTAATCGCGACAATATGGGTAAATAATCACAATGAAATAGAATACATCACCACACATAGTAAGTAAAAATACAAGTTGAAGGTAGGAAAGCGGGTGTTTTGATAGTGGTAAGAATAATAAAATACGATAACAAAAGTCTAATCAATAGTTAGACGTTGGGAATAGAAGGTCAAACGTGGGTAAATAGACTAGGAAAAGTAATCTTCAACAACACTTAATATAGATAAATACACGAGATAGCCATGGGCTCACCTTTAGGCCCGATTCTATCCGATCTCTTCCTAGCAAAGCTAGAAAATGGACCTCTTAATGAGATTATTAAGAAACTTGATTTATATTGCCACTACATTGACGACACCTTCATTATCGTAGATCAAAACACCAGTAAGGACGAACTCTTAGAAAAATTCAACAATGTTCACCCAGCGATCACTTTCACTGATGAAAGCGAGCATGACGATAAGCTGAACTTCCTTGACGTCACACTAAGCAGACGAAGTGACGGCATATTAAGTAGAAGCGTGTATAGATGAAACCTCTCTGCATGCCAATATACTCACTTCTGCAGTTTCACACCTATCCCCTACACGAGAAATTTGGTCAGATGTCTCACTAGCCGAGGATAAAAGATATGTACAGTAGATACTCTAAGTCAGGAGCTTGAATTTATCAACAACTCACTGACCGAGATCGGCTACTCCAATGCTTTCATTAAGAAGTACATGTATGACATATTAAAGAAGTCGGAGATTTCGGCTGTTCGTAAGAAAACTTTATAAATGAAAGTAGAATTCTATGGGGATGTGGCTAGTGATACTCTGAAATATAAATTAACTAAAGTAATCACCAGGACATTCTACGCAGCCAATCTTGCTTTGACATTCTCTTGTCGACTAGCGATGTCTACTCGAACGAAGGATAATTTACCTGAGTTGGATACAGAAAAAACAAACAAATCAATTCTCTCAACATTATAAACATGTTCCTCTGGTGATTGCCAGCTAGCGGACAAACCAGCTAAACCAAATCAACTTGCAAATTCACCCTAACAATCCAACATCTAAATACCTCACACATGATATTTGCAAATTCATTGTTTGTTTCCTCCTGTTCATTAGTCACATTGTAACAACACACAGCTTTCATAATATCTCACTATTATGTTAATATTAAAAACAATACACTACTCTCTCTCTCGCATATGAATACTAAGTCATTAATTCAAGTACAGTTTATCTCATAATCTCATTATTATTATTATTATTATTATTATTATTATTATTATTACTTACTATATGAGGCTATAGTCAACAATACAGTTTTCTATGATTACGTTTGGTAAATCATGTCTAGATACATACAGTGATCCAGATGTTGGTAATTTCATGGACCGCCATAGTTATTTGCAAATATCCATTGTTCCATACTACACAAAATTATTCAATCATTCAAACATACATTCAAGCTGTATGACGTGAACGGACGTGCTGGTTTAATGGAACATTTAACAATTGACTCGTTTATAAGTAATCCAATTGTGTATCGATTCACTAATTCGAGACCACATCAGGAGGAGTAACTGCACAACTTTTATCATTCAGTTCATCTAATTTCGTAGGGTGAAACAAATGTATTTATATTATTCATATGTGTACATAATCGTGTTCACTGAAGTGAGTGTCGTAATGTACAGATAAACAGGTGTATTTGTAGTTTTCGGTTTAGTGCTGTAACATCTTCATTATCCACAAAGTCCTCAAATAAGTCTCTACAGTTTTCCGACCACAGCGTGTCACGTTGATATTGTGAAAGTTCTATCGAGCTGTGACTGTACAGAATATGATCAGTTTGTTCTCAGACATTGGTGGCTTCGTTGCGCTTTCTGAGGGCCATCCCAACAGAAACATGTCAACATTCGATATTCATTTGAGCAAATGATTCGGTAAATCACACAGCATTTTATCATACTGTGAATGCTATACAGATGAATAGGCAATTCTCGAACATTCGTCGACACATATCATGTTTGATGAGGTTTTTCAACGTCGTGTAAACTAATCGAATGTTCAACAGAGAGAGAAATGTACTCAATAGGAAGGAAGAAGTCAACTTTATTTTCAAAATATCTATTTATATCAGCCCATCGCTTCTCTGTTACGGTTATGGAGTTATTAAATTACTTTATTTGAGTTGATTACATCTAAGTGATCGGGTTGTAGTGTTTAGTACTATTTCAAGCCCATATGGGTAATTCTAGTTTCCGGACAGACCAATTGATTTGTTGGTCTTGAGCTACATCTCGAAATAGTGGATTATTCGTCTATTGAGTCACACTTTATCAAATTGACTCGGAATACTGGCCTTCTCAGCTCCACTGCTCTACACTCTGCTTCAATTCCTCTCTTCTCACTATTAACTTCTCTCTGGATGATAAATGAATGCCTGGAATAAATTAATTCAACTCAACACTTATTTAACTTCTTATTACCACCGTCGCACAAATCGGATTAAACTAGTGTAATAATTACGGAGTTCAATAGAAGATTTATATTCATGACATATTCATTCGTACATTGAAATCGGAGTCAGATCAACGGGACACATAAAGGTATATAGTTTATGCATAGTAGTCGAATCGGAATCATGCAAAATACTTTATCTCGTGTTTATACAACTAATTGTTTGATTCTATATAGAGGTTTGAATTTCCCTGTTGTTAATATCAAACACAGCATTTCAATACGTTCATCTTGAGTGGAATGTCTTAACATTGCTTCTAGTTGAACATTCGATTAAATTTCGGTCTGAGCTACAATTTCAGTCCAGCAGTTCTGTTCCGTCCTATTTGAAACACGTTAGCTAGATATACACTCAACACAATGTTGATATTCACACAGATTGTCGAAAATAGTACATATATCATCGAACGCCATATAACGCAACAACGAGAAATCCAAACGTTTCGCTACAGTTTTATGGTCTCTGAACAAATTACGAAACCACAAGTACTGCATTACAGATTTAGTATGAACATAGACATTAGGATACAGGTACATTTACAAGATGAAACACAGATGGCATGAAATTCACGATCTAAATTTCACTGTCAATCACAACACAAACATCAGTGAACATCCAAATAAAAGAAATATCGCAGCGGTCCACTCATGATGCACATATCGCAACACAATCTGACCTAATACAACACATAATATCAACAAGGGGCAAGTTCAAACCAGATGTTCAATTCAGTTAATCTCGGTGAAAGTTGTTTGAGACACTTACCATTATTAACATGGAAGTGTACATTCAATCTGTTATGACTGTTGTCTCTGTCAATCATCACGTGACAAAATCACTTGTCACAGTACCAACGTCTCTGACTCTGTCCCTCCCTATGCTTAACCAATCGCACATCTCCCAGTACCAACATTCATGACTCAACTGTGAATACTTTTTGGTACTCTGTTTTGTAGATTCTTATCTAACGAGACCAGTTCGTTCAGTTCAGAACATAAATATTAGCCTTTGTCTTTTCAGTCGTATATTTCAGATATAGATATATAGTTTATATACAACCAAACTGAACCTCATCCCACTATAAAACAAAAACATAAAAATTATACGAGATGAATCCAAAAGTGACTGTAAGTATAGAAGATTATAACAAATAGATTTGGAATAAATTAAGAACAATAATTCATATCAATGTAGTTACTGGATCAGATCTGTAAATAATTCCTCAATGTTATCATTCATTTATTCTTCTTTAAGATATAACAAAATCATTAGTATTTCAATAGTTGAGACCATGAGTCAATTGAAGTTAAACCACCATGGAAAACCTGGAAGCACTGGATGGAAATTTTGTCCTATTGCGGGATTCCTCAGCAGTGCATATACACGATCCTGGCAGCGGGATTCCAACCCAGGACCTATCAGTCTGGCGCGTGAACTCTTAACCACTAGACCACTGAGCCAACATCCAATGATGTTAATGTCAAACTTCAACTAGTCCACGAAATTGAGCGACACATCCACCATTGTCATCAGTGAGTTCCTATCTCACAACTAACCCAGTTGTAATCTACTGGTCACTGATTATCATTATCATTATTCACCAAATGTTTCATTAATTTAATAAAGATATTATGTAAATACTTATACTTAATACATAACACAAGGTGTAAGACATTATTTTCCATTAATTTTATATTCTTACATGTAAGTGATACTTTCCCATGTATTGTCTGTGATAGTTTAACTGATTCTGTCTGATCACATTTTTATCATTGCTAATCGATTATGTGCACGTTGTAACTGTATTGAACAAGAACACAACAACAGTGGGGACAATCGAATGTACTTGAGCACAAAATTATAGAACATCTCACTAAAATCTGAGAGTCATACAGTAAATACTTAATATGTAAAATATCAATCCATTGTCTCAAACTTGACTGCTTCATTTGCAAATATCAGTCCATGGTCTCAGATTTCATTGTTCGCGCATTTTCATACTAATTGCTTTCTGTTCCTGTTCTTTCCTTTTTGATCTTCTACTAAACTACATTCTATTTTCGACCATCGTTATATGCTACTTATGTGGATATAAGTAGCACAATCACAAAACCAAATAACATTCAAGTTCTGTTCTGTGAATATCACAGTTAATTGATCATAATATTTCATTGACCGAAAATGCTGAAAAGATTCATTTACACACATACACACACTTGCTATCCATATGTTAGTGCATTGTATTCAATAAGGATATTGTAATGATCTTTTGTACCGAAGTACTTTAGTTCATTCTTTGCTGTATCACATGGGATTATTATTATTATGGCAATAAAAGTACACGATTCTTGTGGTTCGTTTCATCGGCCTACTTTATATTATGAAATAATTGACCAGTTATACTTACGAAAACTTAGATTAACGGACTGTTATGTGTCCGAATAAAGAACGACTGAACTATCTTTGAGAAATATCACTTTATCAGAACGGGTTTTGTGGAGATCTTAGTAATTTCAATAGTTGAAATCATGAGTCGATTGAAACTAGATCATCGTGGAAAACCTTCCAGATTTTCCATGATGGTCTAGCTCCAATCGACTCATGATTTCAACTATTCAATATCACTTTCTTAAACTTCTTTATACTATTTACACAACTTGTAAATTTCCAATTTGCCTAAAGTGTTTTATTTCTGTTATAGAGTGGAGTAGATAATGGAACTGGTCAAGTGGACAGATTTAAATTCTATCAAAATGTCGGCTAACAAAATGTACAGAATATTTGATTGAACAGATAACTAGTCGTTTTTCTTCTTTCTTTTGTATTGAATACGAATTATTTTGATGGAGTTTTATTCTCTGAACTGGACGATTTCGTCGTGGAGTTTTCATCGTTCTTCTCAATGACATCCATCTGAGATAAAAATCTTTGCCACCGTCCATTTCATTTTTTGATGATATAACTCTTATATAAGATGCAGTATTTGAATATGTATCTTTTACTTATTAATTTATTTGGACACACAAATACTGGTACAATATGGGCACCAAATATATATGCACCACACAAAACAATGAAAATGGAAAGAGAAAAAGAAGATAAGGCGCATACAAGAGAAAAAACAATAATGACCACAAATTAGTGTGTGAAACGTAAAGGTACAATCAGAAAAGATCATTCAGTTAAGGAAATTACAAACACTATTTATGAGGAAAGTAAATTGATGATGCGCTGAAGCGATTGAAACGACCAGTGGTGGGTTCACGTCTCACAGTCAACATCAACACTGGGATGCATGTAGATCCAGCTGTTCAGTCACAAATGCGACGAAACGCGATTCCTGAATTCCACTATTAGACACCATCCATCTTTGTGTTATAATGCATGCTCTCACATGGTCGCGTGCATATGTAGAGGCTAATTTCCTCTATATCTGACTCCATCAAATAGTATCCCGTTAACTGTTTATTTAATCTCCTACTCGAATTATGGATTGATTTGAGATCATTCAAAAGCCTGAACATCAGTTATAGAGACAGTTTGTTGTTAAGGATTGGTAAAATCCGCAAGCGTACAGGAAGCAAGCACACAGAGAAAGCAAAAGTGTGTGTGTGTGTATGTGTGAATGTTAAAATTCCATATATATAATAATCAATGTTAATCAAGTATGAATGAATTATTGATTGTCCGTGTATTACAACCAATGGGAGAATAGGTTGAAGATTGATGTGCGGAAATGTGCTCAATCAGACTCACACAGAAATTCGCATAGTGGATTAATTATCTAAATTACAGTGAGTAGACAAATAATATAGTAGTGGATTGGGCTTACTACACATACAACCACAGCCAGTCCTACTCACTGCA